GGCCGGGCACCCGGGATCGCGGCGCTGCCGGACACGTGAGTGCGCCCTGCGCGCCGCCTGGCCGAGGTGTGCCGGGGAGGCCCGGGCTGGGAGCGCAGAGCGAGAGTGGCAGCGAGTTTGAAGTGCAGAAGGGTGAGTGTCCGGGAGGCTCCTGGGGCTGCGAGGCGGCACCGATCCGAGCTGGGGGGCAGGGGGCGGCAAACGGCACTGGCAGGGTCCCCGCCCCTGGGAAACCTCAGCCTCCGCGTGTCCCAGCCCCGCCATCTGGGGGCGAGAGGGAACGGGCGAATGAGGGAAGCGCTGCGGGGTCCCGGGCCGGACCCACGGGGCGGACGGGAGCGGTCTCCACCTCTCGGTTCCGTCTCAGTTCCGCCCGCCACTACCACTGTTTCCAATTATTTTTTCCAACAGACGCGCCCCGGTTTGGGGGAACCCCGCGTCCGCCCAGTGCGCGCTGGCCGCTGTGTCTCCGCGCTCCCGGGAGGTCCCGGGAGGTCTCGGGAGGCGCAAGCTGGGCGGGATGGCTTGATGACCGCATCTTTTCCTTTCATCCGCGCAGAGCCTCGGCGTGCTCCCAGTCCCGCTGACGTTCCCCTCGCCAACCGCACCCATGCTTCTGGCGCGGATGAAGCCGCAGGTGCAGCCCGAGAACAGCGGGGCGGACCAGGGGCCCGAGCAGCCTGTGCAAGGGCGCAAAGCCGCCGAGCTGTTGGTGGTGAAAGAGCGCAACGGCGTCCAGTGTCTCCTGGCGTCCGGCGCCGACGACGAGCAGCCCCGGGAGACCTGGGGCAAGAAGATCGACTTCCTGCTGTCGGTGATAGGCTTCGCGGTGGACCTGGCCAACGTGTGGCGCTTCCCCTACCTCTGCTACAAGAACGGTGGTGGTGAGCCCCCTGATGGGCTGGGGGTGTGGATGAGGGAGGCTACCCGTCCGCAGCAGCGGCCCGGGGATAGGGGCTGGGATGGAGAAGCTGGGATGCGCGCAGGAGCAGAGGAAGCACGCGAGCGAGTCTGGAGCGCAGGAAGGGTCTCGACAGGGCTCATGGAAATAGAAGTGGAGGCCCCGGTGGAAAAGGGAAGTGGAGGCTTGCCCCTGGACAGTGATAAGCGCATGGGTGGAAGAACAGAATCTGGGGCCCTAAGTTGGGTGAGAAACACTGATCTTTTGATGGTTCGCAGGAAGACAGGTGCCGATCTGGAGAGCTCTGGAAGGGGCACCAGAAGTGCACAAGATGTGACAACCAGGCACACAGGGACCCTAACTCCAGCACTCTGAGCCTTGGGGCAGGGACCTCTGGGCCAAAAGGGGAGAGAAGACGTGGGCTCCCTGAAGGCACTTGGGGGGCCCCACACTCTTGGGGACAAACACTCTGGAAAAGAGACACACAGAGAGAAGCTAGTGTCAGAGGGAACTCCTCTCTCAGGATGGTGGTTGTGTTGCTGGAGGCGCTAGGATGCGTCATTAGGTACCAAGAACTGGCCTGATCCTGGAGGCAGGAGGCCCGGCTGATGGGGATGAAGCCTTTACCTCCGGGGCTCCTGGCCACAATGCAGGGTAGAGTGGGAGAGGGGCCTGGAGAAAACTCCAGTGGAAGCAGCCAGGCTCTCTCCTCTATCCCGAGCCAGGTGACAGATGACCTACCTGCCTGGGATGCGAGTCTAGAGACCAACTTCGGCTCATTCAAAGGGCAGAGCCCTGGAAGAAGGGGCCTAGGGGCGGGGCACAAGGTCCTAAGACCGTAGCTCCTTCTTGAGAGCCTTTGTTCCTGGGTGCCCAAACCACCCCAGTCTTCTGCCCCTTGCTGGAGTGAGTTCAGGGGTGCCCTGCAGAGAGCCTGGGAAAATGGCAGGGAGGAAGACGTTGGCAAAGGGGGGCCCAATTCTGGAAACTTCTATCCACTGGGTCATCCTGCCTGGCAGTGGCTCTAGCTCATGACTCCAGGTGGTCAGAGGCAGGCAGGGTGAGGATTTGGAACCCGGTAAAGGGAAAGCTCGTGACTGGTCCCATAGGGTCTGGGACCCAGCTGTTTGTTTTAGTGCTTGCTCTGGACCCTCACTCTGGTTGAGAAATGGGAAGCACTATCCAGAGGGGACACTCTCCCTTGGTTGGCTGCTGCAGCCTCTCAAGAGTCTCTGGTTGGCCTTAAGAATTCTGGCCCTTTGGGCCCAGGGAGGGAGGAAAGGCAGATCCCACGTATTTTTAGCAGGTGGGGAGATGACGAATGAAAGACAGACCGAGACCCTAAGATGCGCCATCCAGCATGTCCTCAAGGGGCTGTCCGAGACTGCGTGTCCCTAGACAGCAGGAGGCCCTCTCATGAATCAGCAATAGTTCTCGGGTTCCTCTCGGTGTGAGGCACAGTGCTAGGCTCTGCAGGGGCCCCCTACATATATTCATCACCACGTGTGCCTGCCAGGAGCTTTAGTCACCTAAAGCGTCACGCCATTACACGCCATTTCCACTGTTGTAAGCGTTGGTCGAAACTAAATGCACCCCAGATGGCCAACTGGACACATTGGCTAGATGGATATTCTAGAGCTCCCACTGACACTTCGAGCTCCCAGGGCCATTGCCATCAACTGTGAGCACCTGCTGCATGCACAGTGATACACCAGGTGCTGACGGGGGTGGGGGGCGCGTTACAAACACAGCCGATTTGTCACAGGTTCCGATTTTTAGGCAAACTGGGCGGGAAGCTCCCTCTCCTTGGTCCGAGAACCCTGCATATCACCCACCTGAGTTGTTTGGTCATTTATCTCTGTGTGTATCGGTCACCCAAACAGACGGGGGCACATCGAGAGAATAGACGGTGGCTTTTTCCTGCCTCTATTTCGAATGCTCAAAATGAGATCCAGATCCTAGGAATGTGGTAGAAGGTACCCAACAGCCTTCTATTGAATGAGTAAATGAATGGAATGATCCAAGCCCTAACGCCTATCCAGAGACAGCGGGAGCCCCCGGCAGTAACTGACCAAGAGAGGGCGCTCGCTCTGCTGGGGTGGGGCCGGCAGGCTAGAGGTCAGCGGCCTTGGCCGTGGAGTCCCGGCTTCCAGCTTCTGCCAGCGGGACTTTGGGCGGCCCCTCCTGCCTCGATGTCTCCATCTGTCAAATGGAAAGAATGGTTTTCCCCTCAGAGGGTGAGCATGGGATAATGTGATACAAGGCTCGTGGAGAGCCAGACAGGGACTCTGGCCCCTAGTAAAGGTAACTGTTACTCTTCCTTAATCACATTTTGATGATGTGGGAAATGGCTGGGAGAGGTGACAAGTGCTCTAAAGGCCTGAGGAGGGGCTGCTTGGGAAAGATGGGGAGGTGTACTGTCCTGGGAGCTTAGCCCCTCAGGATGGGAGGTGCATGGATAAGCCTTGAGACGGTAGGAGGCATTCTTGTTGTTCGAGAATGCACTTGGTATATCATCTCAAAGATGAGGAGTGCGGGCTTGGCGGGAGCGCAAGCCAGCAGAGATAAGGGCGGAGAGGCAAGTTGGGGCCCGGCCCTAGAGACCTTGAATATCAGGTTAAGGGGCAGGGAAGTTGTACCAGTGAATTTCCACTTGTGGTTGACCCAGGGTAGCTTCACCCTCCATCTCCGAATTCGAAGGCAGCTCCTTTTCTGAACTACCCCTCAGCCCTCTGGGGGAGCTCAGCTGGCCCCTTCGGACCTTCATCTCTGCTGAGCCCTCCTGGCTGGCTCCTTGGAGATCAGTTCTTAACCCTAATTCTAGAGTCAGCCCCTGAGATGGGCCAGCATGTTGGCAGGTGGGTATCCTGTGATTGTGGAAGCAGCCCGAAGACCCAAGTTTGAATCCCAACTCTGTTTCTCTGGGCATGGCCCAGCCCCTCTCCCAGCCCGAGCTCCCCGCTACAGCTGGACCCCCAAGAGTTATCCTTCTCCGATGACCTGGCTCAGCGCCGCACCCAAGCCAGGACTCCGCCGGCCTGTGATTTACTAGCCCGGGTGATCTTCGGGTGCCAGTTTGAACGTGGTAACCTCCAAGTCTGGCTGTGCACGCTGGCGCAGACCAGAGCATGTTGTGAAATGATAAAGGTGCCAATAGTTTAGGACCCTGGCTGATACTTTCTGAATAAATTCCTGGGAATGATCAGCCTGTCTGAACGTCTTCCCGGAGGCCAGCTGCTGGGCCACATACGTGTGGGATGCTACCGATGGGGAAAGCCAGACTTGGAAATTCCACAACCTTCTCAAACAGAGAGACAGTGCCAGGCCGTGGGGGCTGTTTTCAGGGTGCTAGAATCTCCCCTGCACCTGTGGTCTTGGGCTGGGCGTGGGCTGGTCGCCGGGGAGGCGTGGGCAGATCGCCTGGGTCTCCACGTCTGCCTTCCTTGCCAGGAGAGGGGTCTTGGCAATGGCTGCTTCTGTTTGAGATGAGTACTGTGGTGTTAGACACATGGTCTCCGGTTCAGACAGACCCGGGTTTGAATCTGAGCCTGACACTTCCTGGAAATGGAGCCCTGGACTCCTCCTCTCTGGGCCTCAGTTTCCTTGTGCAAAGAAGGAGAAAGTTGTTTGATTATTTTTTCAAGATTTTATTTATTTATTTGAGAGAAAGAAAGTGAGAGACAGCA